CGGGCGGCGTAGCGTTAAAATTAAACATTCAAACAATATACGACATATCGGAAGTCAAGGGTGAGAGCCAAGGGGCGCATGGCCTGTGGGCACCGCCTCAAACAAGCAGACTTGCCAAAACATACAAAGCGATGGTCGAATTTCCCTGAGAATCTGTCCAAGCCGGATGTGACATGTCCCCGAGATTTTCTGTATGATGTAAGAACTACCAAAACCGTACGGTCATTACTTAATCATTGCGCCAAGACAGGAAGTACATTGACGCTGGGCAAACAAATTCGGAGCAACGAACCAGGAGACTGCAGGCCGGCTTTCTGTGCATGAACACCTCGATCAACATGACGCATCCATGCTTTGGCATGCAGGAGGTGCCTCTGCAATGGGCATACAACATGATGCAAACGGAGTACCGGACCCAGGTCCACTGTAGGGGCGGTGGGTCGGAAACCGAAGCAACCGAGCAACGCAGTTCAACAGGTGGAAGCTTCTTCTCGTGATCCGAAAGCCCCGCCAATGCCCAAACCGGTGTTGGCCTTCGCGCCTGCCCCCCTCCGTATCCTCTTTTCTACAACAAGAACTGAAGACGCAACGATTTCTGGATCCAGCACGGTGATCAAGGGAATGCCACGAGGTCAGAATACGGCAAGCATTGGAGAAGCTTCATCCGGACTTGGAGGCGGGATTTCTGCCGCAGCTTTAGCAGCGGGGGTTGCTGATCATGCTATCTTGCTGCTCACTCGGTTGCGGTTAACCACTGGCATTTCGCACTTGTACGCTGTGCTTGGTTGGCATTTTTCCATTTTCTTCACAGCACCATTCGGATCTTGAGACCGGATTTCTGTCGTAACTATCCGCATGGGGCTGCGGCACACAGCATTCTTGCGCATCTGCGGGAAAACTATGCTTTTGGAGGGAGCGGTTCCACCGAGACGGACCTCGAAGAGGGCTGGAGTTGAAACTCGATACATGTGTACTTCTAGCATCATAAAAAAATTCAGTTGTTCATTGCTGCAATTGGTTTTGCCGGTTTGAAGGGTCGGCGGCCGCTGATCTTGGAGATCGTCGGACAAGCCCATGTACCAGATTTATGACGTCATGACTCACGCCAGGCGGCAATCTCTCTGGTCAAATTGGCTCAATGCATAGCGAAGGATAGAAGAGGCGGTGACAAGCCTTGCCCAATTTCTGTTTCGGAATCTTCTGTCGTTATATACAAACAAGAAGGCTCATTGTCATTTCTCAGGGCTCGCAAACTTACGATGGTCACTGATTCGTCACACCACAGTACCGAGGACTAAAACGACAAAACGTCCTACGGCCTGGACTGTACGAGATGCTCCTGGAAGTCGAACGGCTGGCTGCACGCCGTTTAGTGGAACGACTCGCCACCCTCACGTTTCTCCAGGCTGTCAGCCGTCAGTGCTTGAAAACCGCCAGGTTGCAAGTTCCCAATTACCAACCGGACCCTCAGCTGTTGTCCATGTTGGCCCCGCTAAGGCCAGGAGACCATGCAACGTCTCGCGGCACAGAATATCAAACCCTGCGAGCAGATTCAAACCCTTCGCGCAGATGACCTCAGAGCTCTGCACACCATGCCCTTTAAAGAGGAATTGAAGACATGGCTCCCATGCTGCACATATTCATGTATCATGGCATTTTTGGATGTGCCGCCAATGCATTTTCCGAGGGTCAGTCATTGCAATACAAGTATGACAAAACCAATGGGCATCGCAACATAGAGGTCCGCTCAAGGGACAATTGCATCGAACTGTGCTGCTGGCGATTTTCATGTGAACAATGAACTACAAACCGTTTGGCAGCGGGGTTTTCTTTGCGTAAAAACAGAGATGGAACGGAGGCCTTCTTGCAACGAGACCAGTGTTTTTGCAATTGATTGACAATTGCATGGGCTCTGAAAATGACATGCTTTGTTTAGTCATTTCTCAACTGCCACATTCATCCAACAAGAGGGAAGCCAAATCGTTGACCAGTACCAGACTCGCATCTCCTTCGAGTTTGACCTGGTGGGAAATTCGGGCAAAAAAGTTTTCACGGCTCTGCTTGGCGCATCAAGGGGCAGTTCACGAAACCGTCTCATTGGTTTTCGTGGACTGCGTCAGCTGCTGAACTACCAAGCTGGGGAAGATTTGCTGCGATTTCTCCCAACTACGTTTCCAAACAGCAAGATTGTCGAGGATTGTTCTAGCTCCTACGTACAGCTACAGGATCGAAAGCACGCCAAAATTGCCAGGCAGATGTGCACGGCAGCTGTTGACGAACTCTTAAATGTTGCCGTGTCGTGACATGGCTCACCCGGCCAAACTAACGCAAATTCCTCAGGCACTCGCACTGGCACGAGTGCATAGGATGACTTTAGGCCCGATCCAGAGTTTAAAGCAAGGTTTTATCGGCCAGGACGTGGGACACAATCTCTCAGCATCAATTCTCCAGATTCGCCCGCTTCGAGAAAGGTTTGACTTCGGTGATTCGTTCAGAGGACAGCCTGTCTTTGGCACCGGACAGTCCAAGGCACAGGAAGGAGCGAACAGGATTCGGCGAGATACTCGATGACTTCGAACCAAGTAGTTGCCCTCGACGCGCCAGTCGTCCTGCAAGTGTCTTGTCGTAGCCGGACCATCAAGAAACGGACGAGTAGCGGGTGACCCAGAAACAGGCGGCACATAGCTGAGCTTAGCTGCTAGGTGACCCAGAACAAGGGCACGCAGCTGTCAAAAATAGACGCAGATGTAGTGGACGGAGTCTTCGGTGTTGTATGTCGGTTGTCGTTGACATCTATGCTCATCGTAAATGAACTCCGAGACGTTGCCATGAGGTCGATGGGCAAGAGGTAGCGGTCAGAACGATTCTCGCCATCCATCGGCGTCGCTACCAACAGTCACTCCATCGCCCATTGGAGAAGCAGCCCTTTGTCGACGAAAAGAAGGGTTCGAAAGCAAAGCCGGGCACAGGGACCGAGAACGTCTGCAGCATAACCGTCAGCCGCCCCGGCCAGCTCCAACGGAATCGAAACCTCTCCAAGAGGCGTGTGCCGTTGATCCCGCTGACCAACTGGTCTTCGATCTCGCGCCGCCACTGAACGTCGCTCGTTCGGCATGAGAGAATGTCGCAAAGAGTCTCGCTGCCGATCAGTCAACCCGCTGCTCCAGGATCACCCGGCAAGCCACGACGCTTTTCACTAAGGACCGTATGATAGTTGCGGCTGTCGCTGTAGATTATCGTGGGAAAGTTGAGCTTCCGGGATGCAGCCGCAGGTTGAGAGCTGCCGGCCGCATCATCATCATCATCATTTAACTCCAGGCCCACCTTCGTCTGTGCCTCCTCGAGACGAAAGTGCCACTCCGCGCTTTCATCCTGAAAGGACAACTTGTTCCGGGAGCCCCTGCGAAACTCCAAGAACACCGGTTGACAATTTCCTGGTCGCTCAGACTCAAACCGAGGCCTCCTTCAGGGAGTTGCAAAGCCCCTGGAACCCCGAAACGGTCGCATGCTGGAGGATGACCTCTGGATTTTGAGGGTCCCTGACTTCCTCTACTGGCAGCGTGCCCGGGGCGTCGCTGCCGACGTGGTAGGAGCTATCCGGTCGGATCAGTCGCAGGTTCATCCCGAAGCGCTGTGCCTTTCCTTGGAGAGTCGGCAGTCAGGGGTCCATGGCTTTACGCAAAAGCTAAAGCTCCCTCAAAGCTCCGCTACCAAACTTGGACGCTTGTTTGCACTCCGGCCCAAGCCGGCTGTTCAGTTCGGACTGTCTGGTGCCTGTACACAATACAACTTTTAATATAGACCTACATAAATATTATGTATATATATATACAAAAGGTGCACATGTCATGCTTAGATAATAGTCTCTTCACATAGTGTTGCTAAAGCGCGTAAGGATCAGGGTGCGTATCTTCAGCACACCAATAAGCAATCATGGGGTGATTCACACTAACTTGCCACCAGCGCAGAACAGAATGTTGCTCGATTCAATAACGGCAGCTGGCGTAGAGATGCCTCACGTGGTAAGTGAGATGGAACTGTGTATGTGTAGCTGGGCAGAGATACTGACTGTCTGGCTACTCGTCGTAAGCTGTGTGAAAGCCTTAGAGCCCAGAACTCAATCCTGTTGCCCACCACTAAACCATTAAAGGGTGAGCTTTGCGGCAAAAAGCCAGGGGAAAGCGCTAGCTTAGTGGCTTCATGGTTTAAGAAGTTTAGAGGGCTGAGGGTCCTTTACGGCTTCGCACCGCTTTGCTGCAAAGCAGGCCTCGGGGCGGAAGTGGGGGTTCGGCAGCTTGGACTGAAGGTACAGCTGGAACCTCAGAGAGATTGGCCGGGAGACAGCAGTCGCTAGCTCGGTCTCGAGGCTGGCACTTCGGGTCGTATTCGATCTCATCGGGGCCAAGCTTCAGGAACATGGGGCCTTGGCCTTGCTTCCCCCGCTGGATGACCTCAGAGACTTCGAGTACATGAGCACTATACCATCGAGGGCGCACTCAACGCGCTGGCCCAGATGGAGAGGATGCTGAATCAAGAAACCCTTGCCTGTCTTGATGCGCTCTGTTCTTTCACTTCCGAGTGATCTGCCTATAATTGTCGGTCCCACCAGTGTGAGCGCACCCAAAGGCGTACCCTGGTTCGGTTTGCCTTTTGCGGCGTGCGTGGGAGTGCCGTCGGAAACACCGACATAGAGTTGACCAAAGGGTGGCAGTTGGTGCACCTTGCACATGCATTCCATGGTTGCAGCGCTTCCAGGATTCCGCAAATGGCATGCTGGATCAAGGCCGCGTGCTGCATGGCTAATGGCTACAACACGTCGACTTTGTCGAAGCACAGGTTGAACGACGCGGCCTTATCGTGCCGTCATGTCCACATTCTGTAACGGGGGGGGCCTCAAAGTCTCACAATAACGACAAGACCGGACTCAGACCTGCAGCTTCCAAAAGTTCTCTCGTCGCCTGTGAGGTGTTGAAACCCTCTTTTGTGTCTTTGTACAGCCCTGGTGGTAACACTTAAACACTAAAACGAAACATGTAAGGGGGCCCTGGCGGACCTGGCTAGGAGCACCGACAACTGCCCACAACCATTCGGCCGCTAGTCCTTCGCTTCAGGTACTCGGCCCAGCGTGCCCATAGAGACGCGTTGCACCACGGGTGCATTTTCCAACGCAAGAGATCAGAGAAACATGCAGAGGCGCAGGGCGGGCAGGGTCAAGCATTGCTTAGCCGGCGGCTGCTCTGGATAAGAGAGGTTCCAGGACCTTTTCTGGGCAGCCGCGATAAATGGAGCTTCGTCAAAAGCTCTGAGTCCATCACGGCATCAATCTCATCAGCCAGTGCCTGCCCAAAAGTCCCCAACAGAGAGTTTAGAGTCAGTTTAGAACGCCGCTGCGTTTTCGCGATGGAGACGAATGCGCCTCGATGAGGAGCTGCCCACCGGTCTGCACGCAGCCGACGACCCTCTCCAGCCTGCTGAGAGACTGAACAGGAGGCGGATGCCTCCTCTTATCTGTGGACGTTTCAAGCGGCCCGTAAATATTGAGGCGTGGACCACTTGAACATGGAGAGCTGGATCACCGAGAGCTCCTGCTTTTGTACAGTGTCTACAAACGCCGATCGCACGCTGCACGCACACTGCACGCGCGCGTGCGCACGCATTGCGCATGCGCGCGCGCGCCCACACTGCCTCGCCCACACGCTGCTTGATCCATCGTGCTCCCTGCTGCTGAGGATCCACCAGCCTCCAGCGTTTGCGAGGCCGCGAGACGGCGGTCGCAGGCCCCGGCAGGTCTAGGTCTCCGGCAGCGGCCAGCGCGAGCAAGAGGTCACCACCTTGGAAGAGAGGCTATAATGTGGCACGAAGCTAAGGCCCCAGGGGGTCACAACTGTTGAAGCTGTGCGAGCGAGGCACCGAGGCGTTCTCCACCGAGACCCGATCTGCTGGCAGCCCCTGCGTCGCGTCGCCGCGAGCGCGCCGGAGGTCCGTGCCCTTACGGGTCCAAGCCCCGCGCCTCGTTCATCCAGCCGGCCACGTCGGCGTCCGTGGCCAGCACGGCCAGCGGGTCGATGTTCTGGGTCATGGGGATCTCCCGTTCTCGGCGCTGCAGAGCTCTCTGCAGGAACGCTCACAAGATAAAGCACAGGGTACGTTACATCAAGAGCGCGATCTCCGCAGGCAAGGCTCGCTTCAGGTCCTGGCTCCAAGCCTGCTGCCACAGATCCTCGCGGAATGGAGGGCGGGCGGGGCGGGGCCCTCTTGCGCTCTGCGCTGTCTGTTTTTCAAGGGGCCCGGGCCTGCCGCAGCCTGGCAGAGAAGGGCGAGGCGTAGCCGACGAAGGCGCTGGCCAGCATGCAGTTGCCTCCCCACCAACTACAGCTTTCTGGGCCCGGCCGCACTCTCTTCGAAGCGATGCCTATGAGCCGCAAGCCGAGATCTCGGAGATCCACCACCGTTGTGGCCCAACCTGTCCACATCGCAGCGGCCCGGGGCACCGGGAGCACCCGAAAGCCCTCTTCTCTGGGCCCGCTGCGCTCGTTCTCGTCGGCCAAACCGGAGACCAGCCGCTCCGCGGTGCTCAGCCGCTGCACGCAGCTCTCGGCCTTCGCTGGAGCTGCCAAAAAAGGGCACCAGAGCCGCGTTTCAGCGTGCTGCTCTTGCAATGCGCGCCTGCCGTTCCATCCTCTCCCTCTCAGAGGTCGCGTCGCTGAGCTGCTGGTCGAGCTGGGCACAGCTGGCCTCGCAGCTCAGAAACACAGTTTCTGACCTGTCCTGAAAAGCACCTGCTCTCTCCGTCGCGATGAAAACAAGAGCGAAGTCGGCGCCTCCACTGCCTCAACCCTCTTCTCGACCTGCAAACAGGTTGTTGACGGCCGGGGCGGCGGTCGCATGGCTCGTGGCGCCTCCCGCAGCTGCAGCTTGGCAGCATCCGTGGTGGCCTGGGCCACTTTCACCTTCTCCATGAGAGGCGCAACCTGACCATCCAGCTGCCACAGGGGTGCTGTTGCAGTGCTGCCCTGTCCGTCTTCGCCGGCCCTTATAAGGCCTTCGTGTAGATCTTGTTGTAGGTCACGATGTTGACCACCTGCAAAAGCTGGGCGAGCGCTGCACTGGCCGACCAGACACTGCTGGGGCGTCTGCCCAGTTGGTGAGGTAGGCAGCCTCGAAAAGCTGGAGTCTGCTAGAGCCGCTAGACTCAATCGGCTCCGGTCCGAGTTGCCGCAACGCTCTTGTTTTTCATCGACTCGAAGTTGAAGTAGTCAGCTCCGATCAACGCGTCGGTGTTCGCAAGGACCTCCAAAGGTCGAAAACTTGGAGTCCGCCGGAGTCCACCGATTCCCAACAGTACACTGGCCTGCTCTGGGATGTTCTCGGCGTTGAACACCTTCACATCATCAATGAACCTCGGCTGCCCCTATTGCCCTGGCAGGTGTCTTGATTCAGCCCATTCCAACCAAAAAATTGACAAGTAGCATGTTCGCAAGCTTTAACCAAGGCTCTGCTGGGGAGACTGCATCATTTTCTGGCAGCCTTTCCAATCCAATTGTCGCTTTTCCTGAACTGCCGAGCCAAACAGCCCTCAGCTCAAAGCCGCCGGGTCCAGCGACGACATTGGTCAAACCGCACTGTGTCCATTGCCCCCGTCAATTCGACTTGCTCTGGGGGGTGTGTCGTTGCTCCATGAGAAGACTCCGTATCTCTCTCTCTTGCTTGCTTGCTCTCTCTCCGGGGCAAAGAGAAAGCAGCGGTCCAGCTGCTTCCTCTGCACACGAACGCGCACCCGCAGTTCGTTGCAGGGTTTGGACTTTCCACTGGGGAGGTTTCCCCCCACTCTGCATCTCTCTCTCTCTCTCCTGCCTGTCGCTCTCTATCCTTGTTTTAACTGATTGCAGGTAGTGCGACGTAACTTGTCAAGGTCACTCAAAAGCCATGGCTATGGAAGCCACGCCTTCTCTTAGATCCACATCAGTTGCCGTCCTTGCTTGCTGGCTGGCGTTTGAAAAGTTGGGCACCGGGGCCTGCGCGCTGCGCTACGCGACGCCTGTGTGTCCAAGTCTGGTTTGGCTATGGAACTGTGAGCCCCGTGTTGCAGTCCTCTCTCTATCTCTCTCTGCCTCTGCTCTTTTGCAGGCCGTGAGGGGATGTGAGACCGGAAAGAGCTTGCGACGTAGATCCCATGCAGGCCTGTCTCAGCAAGAAGCCACAGGCGGCCACCACGTCGACGCACTCCCGTGGAGGCTTGCCAAGAGCTTTCAGCTCTTGGATGGAGGTCTGCCCGCGGAAAACAACCCAGGTGCGGGCACGTGAGTCATGACCTCCTTGCGCCCAGGGCCTTGTCCAGGCAGTCCACGGCCGCCTTGGCCTGTGCGAAGACATAAGGCGGGAAGCGAAGGGGACCGGCAGCAGGCGCCTTCTCCATGGCCGGCAGAGCCTCCACAAGCTCTTGATCCGCCTGAAAAAAGCCAACACGGGGCCATGCAGGCTGCAGGGCGATTCTGCGGGCCGCCTGGTCCTTCATGCGCATGGCCTCGGCAGCCAGAGCCTCGCACTTGCCGTGCTCCAATCCTGCAGAAGCCAGGGTTTCTTCTGAGGCTTTACAAGCGGCGACACCATCGGCTAACACCCTGCTTCTGAGGGCCGGGCGCGCTGCCTCCTTCTCCACCGCTGCCACTTGAGATGCTGCGGTCACCTGGACGCCACAGACATACACAAACAAAAAAGGACAGTCCAGCGTTCTCACGGAGTTCCGCTCTTTAAATCGCCTGCTTGATGAGCTCCTCCGTGGCCACCTTCTTCTCGTCCACCTGCACCGGTAGCGTCTGCCGGGCTGCGGGCTAGGCCCCCAGGGGGCGCCTGTCGGAGGGTCCTCTCCAAGTCCTGCTTCAGGTCTGCCACGCCATCTTGGACCTGCCCAAGCGCCCAGGGCTCGGGCCCTGCGCCCTGCCCTGCCCGGAGACGGGCGTGCGTATCAGCTTCTTCTTTCTCCAAGGCGCGTCGCGCATGATGGCCAGGCCCCGCTCGAGTCGAGAGACGTTGAGCTCCACGCTGGCTTGCTTGGAGGTCAGCATCCGGACCTCATTGCATTTTGGAGAGATCGCGCCGCACCGCGCCTGTGTCTTTCTCCGAGGTGCGTAGAAGCCGATGAACTCCAGGAAGGCTTTGGGGGTCGTGGAGTTGAAGCGCCGCTCCTCTTCCAGGTATCGCCGGTTGGCCTCTGACGCAAGCAATTGGCTCGGATCCACACACACTTCTCGCTCGTAGACCCGGCCTGGTAGATGGAGATGTGAACTTCGGCAGCGTGGTGGGAGATGGCTTGCAAGGTCTCCTGGCAAGCAGATCGTGGCGGAGAGGCTGAGCAGGCTGCTCAATGAGCTGCCAGGGCCCGGCCCTTGGGCCGTAGGGCGGCCTCGTTCTCGATGTTTCGGTCCCGGAGTTTCAGAAGGAAGCGGTCGGCCACGCCAACCAGCGCGTCGCGAGGCCAGGCGTGGAAGACGTCCAGCGCCATGCAGCTGATCAACGCCTCGGAACCGCGAGCACCGCGAGCACCGGAAGCCGCGAGAGACGCGACAGCGAAGTCGAAGCAGAGACGTGCGGTGAGACGTGTGAGAGCTGCTGGCGATGCACGCGCGCGCGCGCGCGAATCCTTCCCGGTCCCTCGTCGCGGCGTCTCGCCGCGGCCCTGACGAGGCGCCGGGAACTTGCGCCCGCGGATCCGGAAGGCGGAGCCCACGGGGGAGTGGCAGAGGACCAGGTGCAGGTTCGAGCCTCAGCGCGAGGACGACGGGGCGCCCTCTCCCGTTGTGTGGCCTTGCTCCCTTCTCCGCTCCCTTCTCCGCGGCCCGGGCGGACTTTGTCCAGGAAGTACTGGAAGAGGGACCTCATCGCATGCACGAGCTTAAGCACCCGCTCCCCCCTCTTCCGCCTCCTAAGCTTTGCTTTCAGGGCACTCGCGGTCATCGAGATAGCCTGCAAACTTTGCAGCGTTCCGAATGGCGGAGAAGATGTTGTCGTATTCCTGGCGTCTTGCACGCGGCCTTCTGCGTGGCGCGCTGAAGTTGGAACTTTGCGGGGCCTCGCGAGCAAAGAGATCGGGGATGTTGCCGCTCGAGAGCATGTCCTGACGTCAGACTGGAGTGGAGGAGCTGCAGAACGAACCAGCTGGAAGTTTAAGTGGGCGGCATTGATGAAAACCAAGAACCGCTCATCCGTAATCTGGCTGTCTGTCAGCAGAAATGCCTCGCGAAGGGTCACAGCCTCGACTCGTTGTGCGATGCGTCACCAGGGCCTGCGGAGTTGCTGGCTTCACCGCGGCCTTCTTGTAGAAGGCCTATAATTTTAAAGGAAAAGAGACACATGGCATCTGCAGAGAGAATGCGGCGCTGTCAGCGGCTGGCTGTGCCTGGAGGTCCGTTTTGAGCTCCGGCAAGCCATAGTGCTGGTTCACGAGGATGCTCAAGACTTCCTGGCTGGCATGGAGCACACCGGCTACCCAGGGACCCACTTCGCTCCCAAAAAAAGCCGGGCCTGGCCATTGATGAAGGAGGCGAGGCGCGCCAGGGACTGCTTGCCGCTCCCTCCCACGCCGACCAACAACGCACTGCCGCAGGGATTCGCCGTGATGCGGCAGATGCCTCTAGCAGCTGTGCCATCGGTTCTCTCATCTCCCCCTCCGGCCCCCCCAAACCAAAATTAGATATTATGAATGTGGGCGTGCTGATATTGCAGACGGGAGGACGGCAGACGTGGAGCACTGCATCGTCGAAGAGCACCAAGTTCATTGTTGCATGCTCCGTGTTGTAGTCTGCCAGCTTGGCCTGAAAAGTTGGGTACCACTTGCTAAGCCAAGTGCTACCAAAGCGACATGAAATGACGGCCGAGCCTAAACAGACTTTCCCCGCGCTACACTATCGTAACATCTGTGTTTTGCGGCTTGATCATGTCTTCTGCCTTTCGGGCTCTATGCTTTACGACTTAACACTAGTGACTAGTGACTAGTGTTGTCGATGAGGGTTTCGGCAACGCGAACATGTAGTTACCCAGGAAATGTTGGTTGGCTGTTCTTGCCTTGGAAAGCTCGAATTAGAGAATTTTTCTCTTGAAGCAGGTTGAAAGTCTACTCCATTCGCCATGAGAAAGCACGAGCGCTGACTAAATGCAGACTGATGGAGGGGAGGAAGGCGCGGGTGCGCAAGTCTGCCAAGCACTATGGTCACTACAACAGAACAACAGTTCTCCCTGAGCTTTAGAATCATCAGCACCGTCATACCATTGGTCTGACATGTCAGACATGGACGGGCCGCTGCTGCGCTTATATCCGCCGACCCCTGCTGGGGCGGCGCCAGTGAAATCCCGAAGGGTTGGTTTTTGCTTGTCTTCCCGTCAAGAAGAAGTAACAGGCTTCAAAAGTTGGCGACACCGCCACCCCACCACCCACACCGTTTTCA